AATGATTCACATATCATCGGAGATGCTGCATACCCCATTCAACCTCACATAATGGTGCCTTTCGAAATAATGGATATTGACAGATCGGCAAAAAAAACGTTTAATTAATTATTGTTTTGTCGTCACGCCGAAATGGCAATTGAGCGTGCTATAGGGTCCCTAAAAATGCGTTTTTAGGATACTTTTAGACTGTTGCCATTAACAGAATAAAAAAAGTTCCAGAATTATCTAGCATGCTGTGTGTACACAAATTGCATTTTACAAATTGATGAAATGCCCATGGGTATACAATTAAATCTTGATGAAGACAACCTTGTTAATACCACCACGATGAGTAATTAGGAAACAGAAACGATTAACAATGTGAATGCGCTACGATGAAATATAATTATTAATAAAAAAAAATAATAAGAATTAGAAAAATAAAAAAATAAAAATAAAAAACAATTAAAAAAAAAATAAAAATAAAAACACATTAGAGAAATAAATAATAAAAATAAATTAGAAAAAAAAAAATTAGAAAATAAAAAATAATTAGAAAATAAAAAAATTAGAAAATAATAATAAAATTTTTACAAAAAAAAAACTCCCGACTGCTGCCAACAAAGTTTTAATGTTTAAATTAAAAAATAAATGTTTAAATTAAAATAAATAAAAAAAAAATAATAAAAAAATTAGAAAATAAAAATAAAAAATAAAAAAACAATTAGAAATAAATAAAAAATAAAAAACAAACAAAAATTAAAAATATAAAAGAACAAAAAATTATAAGTATAAAAAATAAGCTTGTAAAAGTTGGAAATAATCACACATAAATAAAGTCTGTTGTTTATTATATAATTTTTCTTATTTAAATTTATTGTTATCATACATATTTAGCGCTATATAATTTACAAAAATTTCAGATTTTTGAATTCAAAAAATTTTTTTAATTATAATTATTATTATTAATTCTACAATTTACAAGAGCAGTCGGGAGACGCCGCGCGTCTAAAAACTGTAACGTCCGTTGAGTATCGATATTTGTGTTTGTGTCTATTTATTACATAAAACGTGCGCGTGCGTATATGTCTCAAATTTAGCGCGGCGTCTCCCGACTGCTCTTGTAAATTGTAGAATTAATAATAATAATTATAATTAAAAAAATTTTTGAATTCAAAAATCTGAATTTTTGTAAATTATATAGCGCTAAATATGTATGATAACAATAAATTTAAATAAGAAAAATTATATAATAAACAACAGACTTTATTTATGTGTGATTATTTCCAACTTTTACAAGCTTATTTTTTATACTTATAATTTTTTTGTTCTTTTATTATTTTTAATTTTGTTTTGTTTTTTATTTTTATTTATTTTAATTTTTTTTTATTTTTTATTTTTTATTTTCTAATTTTTTTATTATTTTTTTTTATTTATTTTCTAATTTAAACATTATTTTTTAATTTAAACATTAAAACTTTGTTGGCAGCAGTCGGGAGTTTTTTTTTTGTAAAAAATTTTATTATTATTTTCTAATTTTTTTATTTTCTAATTTATTTTTTATTTTCTAATTTTTTTTTTCTAATTTATTTTTATTATTTATTTTCTAATTGTTTTTTATTTTTTTTTTTTTTTTTAATTGTTTTTATTTTTTATTTTTTATTTTCTAATTTTTTTATTATTTTTTTTTTATTTATTTTCTAATTTATTGCTGTTCTTATGCTGTTTCTTCATTCTTTTGTCTCTCTGCTTCTTCATCCTACACATGTAAAAGTTTTTATTATGTAATATATATATTACAATGTATATAATATAATAATAATAATAATAAAGACACACATACACTCACCATGTGACTGCAATGTTCTATATTCTTTCCAAATATTTTTCTGCTACAATTTTTTAATTAATATAATATAATATAAATAGAGAGATAAATAAAAAAAATAGCTAGATAGATAGATTGATAGATAGAGAGAGACAGATGACAAAGACAGATGACAACAATATCTTATATCAAATACGTAAACTTGTACGCAGTTATAATTATGGCTTTGACAAATATATTAACTTTCTTATGGCTATATAAGTTTATACATTATGTAATCACAAGTAAGTTTATATATTTGTATAGCCTTAATTATTATTACATATGTGAATAATCTTTTGTAGTAGATAATTGGCTATGTAAGTTAATATATTTGTCTGCATTGCCATAATTATTGGTGCGCTAATATCTTTGTATAACTATAAATATATTTGTATACATATTTTTAATTAATTATATAATTATTATATAATATACAAATAAGAGAAAAAATAACTATATACATTTATACAATTATATATGTGGATATTTATAGCAATGTGGCTACGTAGCAAATTTAATAGCAAATAAGTGGCTACGCAGACAAATATAAATTCATATAGCCATGTTATGACTACAACAGATTAATTATATTATTAATTATATTATATATTTTATTAATTATTAATAACAAGACTTACTCGTTTTCTATTATTAATAATGTTTTCTTCTTCAGATATCTTCAAGCGAGTATCTTCTTCCTACATATAAATAAAGAAACAATAAATAAATAATAATAACAATATTCTAAATAAAGAAAAAAACAATAAATATAAAAGAAGAAACTTACTCCTTTATTTATATCTTCTTGAGATATATCCATAATAATACACTTCACTTAATATTGTTGTTGACAATAACACGCAACAGGTGACAGCTAACCTATCCTATCAGTCCCGTCATTATTACTTCGAGATGTATATACCAATGTCACCAACATTCCCTATCCGGATACTACAACGAATCTCATTGGTGAATCATTTTTCCTCTTAGGTTCACACAGCAGCCAATGAGAGACCGTATTGACGAAATAATACTCATTTTTCACTTTTTATTAATAGAATAAATAACGATAATAATACGCTTTAAACCTTCCTTGATTAATAAGAAACTTATGTTCCAAAGTTGATATAAAACTATGCAGTAGTTATCGAGAATTAAGGTCACGACCGATCCGGGCTCGATGAAACGCATACTTCCTCTCTTTTCGCCAACCTACGGTTGGCAGCAGTCGGGAGAAAAAATATAAGTATAAAAATACTTTTTATCTTTTTTTAGAATTGTACATCTGAATCGGGATGCACCCGTTAAAATAAAACATATTTCGTACAATTTAACAAATAAAAACTGTAGTATGCTCTCTCCCTCTCTGTGCACGCGCGCGCGTGCATGGGAGAGATCTTATCTTTGGTTCTTTCGGTGGACATACGAGGTAATGGGTCTGTTTTTTGTTCCTGAACTGCTGCACTATTTTAGAGGTTGTCCTTTTCTTATCAGTGTCGAGCAAAAGACAACCTCTGAACTAATGCAGCAGTTCAGGAACAAAAAACAGACCCAATATTTAAACTAATAAACTATAAACTATTAAACTAATAAGCTTATAACTAAAAAATCACCGTGGTAATATAACGAATTTAATAACTTTTTATTTCAGTCTTCTCAAAAGCGTACAATTCTCGTCCACTAAGTACATAGCGTTATTCCTTCCAAAAATAAGTTGAAAAGTCCTAAAGAATTTTTACACTTAATGAACTAGTAATTATTGAGTAAAGTACGATCAAACAGCGCCGGGTTTTATAATTTATTAAAAATTATTCAAATTATTATTTATTTAAAATTATTCAGGACTTTTCAACTTATTTTTGATAAGAAATAACGCTATCTATTTAGTGGGCGAGAATTAATAAGTAATACCCTGTGCATTTAAATATGACTCTATCAGGCACATTTTTCGCGCATCTTAATCCAGCCTCGCCCAGGTTGGTTTGCGTATTTCTTATATATAATGGAAAAAAATTTAATCATTCTGCTGATTAAATTGCACCCTTAATATCACAGTGTATTGCACTAACGTTAATCGTTTCGATTAACTTACTTTTTATTTGCAAAATTCTGCAGGACGGCAAGTAGTGATTTCTGTACCTCCATGTTATCTTGATGCATTTTTTCACGCTCTCTCTTCTTTTCTTCATATTTTGCTTCTCTAATTTCTTCTTTTTTCTTTCTTTCTTCATCTCGCTCTTTTTTTGTAGTCTCCCTTTCTTGCTTTATATTATCAATATAATTTTCTAGAATATTCTCAACTCGTCTTTTTTTAGGCGCACCTGCAATATTAATACAAATGTTTACAAGATTATGTATAATGCGGGGTCTACAATGGTAGTAAGAGTACGAGTACAAGAGTAAAGCAGTAAGCAGTACGAAGTGGGATTCGCTCATTTCGTCGGGAGTAACGAAATGAACAAATCCCATTTCGTACTTCTTACTGCTTATTCTTGTACTCTGTACTCTTGCTGTTATTGTAGACCATGCATAACACTGAAAATGCCTTCAGTCGTGGGCTGCTTTGGCGACAGAATCAAAATGATCTAGATTAAAATAATCCATGTACTGTGATTGGTCAAATCTGAAATTTCATTATAAAATCAATGAAATTTCAGATTTCAATCACGGATTGACACGCACGGATTATTTTAATCTGATTGTGAATCATTTTGGTTCTGTCGCCAAAGCAACTATGGTTTATTAATTATGTTATTACTTCGTAAATCCTCTGAGAAACTCGCTGGAGATAAAGATCCTGATGTAGATAGTATCGGTTGTGATGGACCTTCGCTGGACGCTTCAGCTGGAGGTTGTATATATGCCTTTTCACCAAGTAATGAATCCATTACCTACAAATACAAAATCAGTTTTGTAAGTCTATACATTCAATATTATATTATTATACTTGCAAACACATATGCATATACTTACTGAATAAAAAGCCCAACTACTGTGGGAGTTACCACTTTTTTTATTCTGCTCATATATATTTTTATATGTCCGTTTGAGGCCAGCAAATTTTGTTGAGCATTGAAGACCAGTAACTATATACTTTTTGTCAGTTTCTTTTATTTGGGCAGCAATCTCTCCCCAAATGATATTGTGTCTTTTCATGCCGGTATTAAATTCTTGCTCTCTTTCTCTATATAATTCAACAAGCAAAAGTACTGCAGCGTCAGGCCACACAAAAGATTTTGAATTGGATTCATCTAAAATTTTATTCAAGTCATAAAGTAAATTTTATTACAAAATCTATACTGTTTAACAAAATTATAGGAAAATAAATGAGCTCTTGAGCCAATCGCTGTTATTGTAGCGTGTTTAATTAATCTTTATTTAAAAGACACCGTA